ATCTAGGCCAATGCTTTTGGGCCCACATCACATACTCATTGGCGAGTCTCATCAGCATTGGTGGGACCTTCTGGCGAATAAAGCCGACCTCTTGGTGCTCGTCCAAGAGCTTCCTAGCCTTCGATATCATCTGGTCCAGTTTCTTCCTTATCTGGCCTGCAGTCTTCGGGGCCGCCTCGGAATTCAGTCCGGACATCGCAGCTGCTATGTTATGGTATAGCTGATCGCGTAACGCTGAAAGGACGTATTGGCCGTTGATTCTCCATAGAGGTCCTACTAACACTTCCCTCTTCTCGAGAACGTAAGATTTCCCTGTTGTCGATTGCCATGTCGACCAGCAGACGAATTTCTCCATCGGAAAAGTGCTGACGGGCGGGCCGTATGAGCTGCTGAGTATCAACTGTCCGGCTTTTTGAGGAGGACGAATTCACCTAGAAAATATCTCGCGAAAATCTCGGCCCAAGGGTCCTACCTCGGTGTCGATGCCAGCACTGCCCATAGGGGCCACCTCATCCACGTAGACCACACCGTCGATTTGTGATATCAGTCTCTCTGGACTAGACATAAGGTATCATCACTGAGCACACCATTGAGACGCTCTCTACTCTAACCACACTGATCGGCATAGAAACAAAGAGTTTCTATTGTGAACCGACTTTTGTTTCAAACACTAGTCAGAAACTGGTATCAAACAGGGGGCTGATAGCGTTGTCCTTACTCGTACGTACAGGAGCTGTGAACCAGACGGCATTTCCTTAGTATCACTCTATCATCCTATTTTTCAACCGTATTCTATAGTCGGTGATACCGACTCGGTATCAACTCCCCCTATAGCTTTCAACGGCCCTATAACTCTGCTCAGCCTCGCCGAGAGCTCAGTCATGAATCGAATTAGGTTGAATGACCGCCATTATTCTTCGTAAAACGCGAGAGCAATACGACCAGTGGTAAAGAAACTTTCAAGGGTGTCCACGGATGTGCGCAGTAACTTGAAGAGTCTTTCGTGCAAATTGCAGGAAAAACCTCAACTGAGCGGTCGAAATCAACAGAAGTTCTTTCAAATGTTTTACCCTCAATTCAACACCCGTATATCGCATAAAGGCCAGCCTGGGATAGCAGCGAACAGGCAGCCTCTCGGGACCTCTCTCTCGCCCAGTAGAGTCCTGAAAAAAGTCTTCGCACAGTTCTCGGGCCCGAACGGGATGTCGGGCACGCAGTGGGCCAAGATGTGCCACCAGGCGGGGCTGGTCGACTCTGCGGGGGCCACCCTCACTTCAGTGGATGCCGATCTGGTTTATGTTGATGTAATACGGGCTCGAAGAAATGCGTGTCGAGTCAGCTCTGGGAATTCCTCATTACTAGGTACAGCGACGAGAGTTTGAAGTAAAAGGGATGAAGTTCCCCTTCGAGGTCTTCGCCCAGGAGGCCGTCCCAGCTCTGGCTGAGAAGGCCGGCCTGTCGGTACATGCTGTCATATCGCGACTGGCTGCGTTGGAACAGAATCTCAGCAGTGGAACTCGGCCAACTCTGACGGACAGTTCCGGGCCGAGGGGGAGGGGGTCCAGGTGAGCTCGGTCATGGCCAGGTACTCTCGAGAGTGGTCTCCTTTCAGTGCTCACGAGGCAGAGAGTGCTGGTCCGGCCCGGCTGTATTACGAACACCGTAGACGATCCAGCAGCCAAGGCGGGAGGAATTTCAGGAGGCGGTCGGAGGCTGCCATTATGGAGGCGCAGCCGAGCACCGGGACGCTCGACCTCTCACAAATTTGCGACCGGACTGCAGCGGATGTCCGGGGATCGAAAAAAGAGAAATCATACGTTCCTGGAATGACCACTCATTCTGTACTAATCTCGAACCGGCTATCTCAGTCGACCCGGAACCTCAAGACTCCCGACAGGCGGAGTGGGTCGGTCTCTACTGCTAGCCTTCAGGGTAGTCGAAGTGAGATGGTTGGGCCTGAAAGGTTTTATTATGATACCAAATCGTACACCGGGACTGCCAAACGGTCCCTAGGGGCACCCCCACTGGACAAGTCCCATGCCCGTACCTCGTTGGAGGGCATTGGGGAGGTGACCGAGGAGGAGACGAAGGGAATGCTCATGGACCGACGGCAAGTGGCTCAGGGCAGGCCGGACCGGTCGGTCCTGTCGGGGACTTCGTCGGCCGCAGTGTTGCCCATGGCAACCCCAGGCCCACTGGAGAGGAGGGTACTGCATCATTCCCCCTCGATGGCTTGCCTTCCTACCCTACCACCAGCGGTGTCCTACCCTGTCCAGTGTGCTGGTGGCCTCAGTAGTATGCCGCCTGCGGTCCGGCCGCAGCTCGTGCCTAATTCAGTGGTGTACTCCCCGATGGTTCCTCTCGCACCGCAGCGGCCAACGACGGTTATGTTCGCTCTTTCGTCGCCCTTGGACGTCCCTCCTGGGCCAAGGATGCGACCCTTGGTGATCGACAGTTGATGGAGTTGCTGTTCATGGCCATGACTGTGCTCATGTCGTACATTACCAACGTACATGTTGTGTTGGTTAGCATAGTGGCAGCGGAGGGAACCGCTCAATTGCTT